CCTACTCTATTGTCTGGGAGGGCTAGGGATAAAGTAATGTGTGTGTCCGCAGCACAATGCCACAGTGGGAGTCTTTAAAATCCAACACTGAATCGTTTTCCAAAACTGTCAGATTTTGCTGCAGATGCCTTGCTGTTTTTAAGCACGTTGCTCCATCACGGGCTGCCCGGCCGAGAAGACTCACACACACGGGGGCGATTAATTCACATACTCCGGGGTCTGGTTTGACGCTCACTGTCCTTCATCTCCAGCCCCGGCTCTGGGCTTCTGCAGCGTCACTTGGGAGCTGGGGAAGGAGTGAGCAGCGGGATGGAAAAGGAGGCAGAACCGGGTGGACAAGACAGGTGAGGGAGCCAGGCGTGATGGCACACGCCTGTAATCCCAGCACTCAGGCGGCTGAGGCAGGAGGATCGTTGTGAGTTCGAGACCAGCCTGGGCTACAAAGTGAGCTCAAGGCCAGCCTGAACTGCACAGCGAGACCCTGTCTCAAAAAAGAGACAAAAATAAAAACAAAAACAAAACAAAAGAGAGGTGTGGGGAAGAGGGCCACTGGAAGTCGGAGTGGCTTGGGTGGTGGTCCGGCAGGCCAGCAGATGAGAAGGTGGACAGGGAGAAGCAGAGTGGGCAGTCAGGGTCAGTGAATACACAAGAGGGTCATGGAGTGGGTAGGTGTGAATGGGCCAGAGAGAGAATCTGAGTCAGGAGTGAATCTGGAGCTTACAGAGCTTTCAAAAAAAAAATGGGGGGGGCAGGGTGTGGGGGTTGGGTCTCACTATGTAGCTCTGTTGGGCCTTGAACTCACTGTGGAACCCAGACTGGCCTTGAATTTGCTGCGATCCTCCTGCCTCAGCCTCCCCAGTGCTGGGATTACAGGCGTGCGACACCACACTGGGGTTAAAAAAGTCACTGAAGGGCTGGGGATTTAGCTCAGCGGCACAGCACCTGCCTGGCAAGCTCAAGGTCCTGAGTTCGATCCCCAGTACTGGGGGGGGGGGCGGTCACTGAGCTACCTCACAACGGGGATCTAATGAAAGGATTCAGCTGGGAAAAGGGGTGGAAGAGTTCAGATGTGGTTTTCAGATTCCTCCTTAGCTTTCTTCTTGCCCGGATGCTATACTTGGTCTTCCCAGCCGCCAGGGCTAGTCTGGAGTCCCCAAGGGAGGTGCGAAGACCGGAGCAGGAAGGAGGGACGGCGGCGTGGCCGCAGTGCCCCCTGGTGTTCATGAGGGGATAGTTCCTTAGCTTTTTCTGTTTTCTTCCCCACCCCACGCCGCCGCCCGCTCGAACAGCATCTAGATATTTTTATATTTAGTCATTGGTTTTTTTCGTTTCTTGTTTTTGGTACCGGGAATCGAACTCATGACCTCAAGCTTGCCAGGCAAGCGCTTAAGCCGCTGAGCTACACCCCCGCCCTAGTCGTTTTATACCCAGCATTAGAACAGTGTCTGGCACACAGCAGGTATTCGACAGACTCTTCCGCGTGAGTGAGTTACAGATCTCAAGCCCTGCCTCACCACCGCGTTGTGCCTCACCACCGCGTTGTGGCGTGACCTTGAGCAGCTCTCACGACCTCAGCAAGCCTGAGTTCCCTGGGACCAGACGCCAGCTGAGGGCGGGGACGCGCCTGCTGGCCCAGGACGCCCCCTCTGCCTGCTTTCTCGCATCCACCGATCCACACTGACGCAAATCGATGTGATGGGCACATTTGCCAAATGGGCTTCCGCTGGACTTGGAGCAACCGAGGGACAGGAGCCAAGCCCAGGGCCAGGCGGCCGCGCAAGGAGGAGGTGTGGCCCCTGGACGGGAGAGCGCCAAGGAGAGTCCCGTGCCGCACCCCGCGGGGACCCCCCTTCCGCCTGGGCCTCAGCAGACCCCGTGCCCGGCTGCACCCCCACCCGGCCTTCCTGGACGGCCTCCTCCCAGCTCCTGGCAGCCACGCTGGCCCCAAGACACATCTTCCTGCGGTCAGCTGGATCTAAACTGCAAATAAGCTTATCTCATTTCCCAGCTCGAATCTGATTGCTCTCGGGACAGAGTCCAAATCCTCTGACCGACCTACCATTCTGTGGTCTGGAGCCAGCCGGTCTCCCAGCTAGCCTGCCTTTCCCAAGGCCGGCCTCAAACCCGCAGCGCACACGGGCCTTTTCCTACCGGGCGGGGGGCGGGGGGGAGGGCGGGGGGCGGCCTGCGGCTGTGCGGCCCGCTCTGTCTGCCACCCCGCGGCAGCAAGGAGGCTGCGCGCCATTCCCCGGTCCTCTGCTGATGAGCCCCTCCCCAGCTCTCGTCTCTGGGTCCAAGGGCGAGCTTAAGATTCAGCCTGCCTGGTTTCTCTGTTTCCATTTCTTCCTGCAGGGCCCCGGGTGCAACACGCACCCCGCAGGCGGCCACAGCTGGGTCCCTTTGTCTCCTGCCGGCTCTGCCCATTTATCTTGTCCATGTGGGTCCCACGGGCACTTGAGTGTGGAACTCCTGGTTCCACACCTCATGCCTGCAACTCTCCAGCTCTGACTGCGCCTTCCAGTTCTCCGATCATCCCCGGGCCCAGGTTCACTGCCTTCATGCCTGGCGGCAGCCCCCCAACCCCCGTTTCTTTTTTCTTTTTTTTTCTCCTATATCCGGAATTGAACTCACGACCTTGCGCTTGCCAGGCAGGCGCTGTGCCACTGAGCTAAATCCCCAGCCCGGCACCCTCGTTTCTTAAGCGGGCGCAGTTCTCCTCCTTTGGGCATGAGGAGCTGGGGCTTACAGGGCCAGGTCCTCTGGCCCCCTCCCTGCGAGTTCTAGAGGAAGGACAGGAGAGGAAAAGGTGGGGAGCCAGGAGGACAGGCCCTGCCTGGGCCACCTCCAGGTTGTGGCCTATGGCAACGGCCGGCTTGGTTCAGGGCCTGCCTGAAGGCTGGGCCCAGCTCTGTCTCTGCCGCTGACTCAGTCTGTGATGTGCTCATAGGTGAGCCCACAGGACAGTTAATGAAGATGTAGTCTTGGCCTACCTGGGGCCTCCACTCTGCGATAGGGCACTGGCCTCTCTCTCTCTCTCTCTCTCTCTCTCTCTCTCTCTCTCTCTCTCTCTCTCTCTCTCTCTCTCTCTCTCTCTCTCTCTCTCTCTGTACCACAGATTAAACCCAGGGTCTCCACACTGAGCCACATCTCCAGCCTTTTAAAATATTTTTTAGCCCGATGTGGTGGCACATTCCTGTGATCCTAGCACTCCGGAGGCTGAGGCAGGAGGATCATTGAGAGTTCAAGACCAGCCTAGGCTACAAAGTGAGCTCCAAGGCCAGCCTGAACTGCATAGCAAGACCCTATCTCAAAAAGACCCTAAAAAAATTTATTTTGAGACAGGGTCTCACTCTGTCACTAAATTCCCCTGGCTGGGCTCAAACCTGAGATCCTCCTGCCTCAGCCTCCCAGAGTGCTAGGATTATGGGTATACACTCCCTGTGCCCGGGTCTCATTTTCTTTATCTGCCTTTTTCCCAGGTCCCCTGCAGGTATCTGGTTCTGAGGAAGGGACAAAAGGTAGGTGGGCCTGGGGAGGGGGGTTGCCATGAAGGTGAGCAGGTTGGGGGGGTGGTTAGGGTCCTAGACCCTGGTTCCCTGCTTAGGTCCTGACCTGGTGGGGAAAGAAGTTCGATGTCTGGACACGGAGCCCACCTGCCCCTCCCATCCCAAGACAGACCGTGGTGTAGGCCCCGACGTTGTGTGCAAACCGCCCCCATGGGGCTGGAGCTGACGGCCCCTTTCCCTCTGGGGGCGTGTGGGGCGGAGGGGCTGGCAATCCTGGAGAGGGGAGAGGGGAAGGCTCTCCCCTCTACCACAGAGCTGACGGCAGCGGCCAGGGATTAGGAGATTCTCAATAACTGGCTGGACACGAGCATTGACCGAGTGAGACGCGGCGGCCACGCGGCAGATCAGACACCGCAAACCTTCAAATGCAGGGTGTGGTGGGCAGCAGGACACACGCGTCACTGCTCACAGAGAAGACGTCACTTGGGCGATGACCAGGGCTTTGTTATGGCTTGCAGTCTCTACATTACACATGCTCAAAGAGCTGTTTTAAACGGTGTGGTGATGCAGACTACAGCCCCACCAACGTGGGAGGATGAGGCAGGAGGACCGCTTGAGCCCAGGGGTGCCAGGACTTAACTCTGAGACCATGTCTCAAACAACAACTACTACAACAAACAAGGAGTGTTGGACTGCATGTTTTTTCCCTTTTTTTCTCTTTCCCTTCCTTCCTTCCTTTCATTCTTTCTTTCCTATCCTGGGGATTGAACCCAAGGGTGCTCTACCACCGAACTACATCCCCAATCCTTTTTATTTTGAAAGGGGCCTGTTAAATTGTCCAGGCTGACCTCAAACTTAAGCTCTTCTTGCCTCAGCCTCCTGATTTGCTGAGATTGCAGATGTGTATCACTATGCCTAGATGGTTTGGGGTGGTTTCAATATAGATTTTGTTTTGTTTTGTTGTCTTTTTTGAGACAGGGTCTCGCTATGCAGTTCAGGCCAGCCTTGAGCTCACTTTGTATCCCAAACTGGTCTCAAACTCACAACGATCCTCCTGCCTCAGCCTCTGGACTGCTGGGATTACAGGCATGCGCCACCATGCCCATTCTTGCTTTGTTTTTTGAGATAAGGTCTCACACTATGTACTGCAGGCTGGCCTCGAACTCCCTATGTAGCCCAGGCTGGCACTGAATGCAAGGCGATCCTCCTGCCTCAGCCCCCTGAGTGCTGGGATTACAAGCATGGGCCACCACCCCAGCTTTAGCATACATTTTTACCATCTGTCTTTGAGTTGCTCACACAGGCCTTGATGGCTTCAGGATGCCACCCTCCCGGCTGACGGCTCTGGTGAAACACCACCACTAACAGGGCATCTGACTTCATAGAAGGTAGTAGGTAAAAAGATGTCCATCTTGTGGTTAGATGGATTATAGTAATTTCTAACCTTTACTGGCCACTTACTACGTGGTACTTATCACCAAGAAACCCCAGAAGGCCGATCATTTGATCATTTATTAGACTCATTTTCTGATCAGGAAACTGAGGCGAACAGCGGTGAATGCACCCTAGCAAGGCCCACAGCACTAGGCGGCGGGGCGGAGCCGAGCCCGGGCCAACCCTGGGCGGGTCTTGTTTACCACCTAACTAAAGATGTGTGACCGAGGGTCCCCACGAGCAAGTCAACCCACAGCCGTGCCATCCTCTTCAGCCTATAATCGGGGCGTGACGGCCTCCTCAACAAACAGCTTGAGGGAGAAATCCAGGGCCGGGGCCGCCTGGGTCAGCATCCCCAAAGAGATGACATCGACGTGGGGCCCGCAGAACTGGGCGAGGTTGTCCAGGGTGACGCCCCCACTGGCTTCCACAGCCACCCGGGGGAACTGGGCCTTCAGCGCCGCGGCTGTGGGGTGCAGCTCCTGCAGGACACAGGCCGAGGGCAGGTGAGAGCCCCCCACGCCCCCGGCCCGGAGTCAGCCCCGCCTCACCTCAGGCTTGAAGTTGTCCAGCATGACCAGGTCAGCACCAGCGCGGGCCGCCTGGACCGCCTCCCGCAGGCTGCCGCACTCCACCTCCACCTTCAGCTCGAAGCCGGCTGCCAGCCGGGCGCCCCGCACGGCCTGTGGGCAGCAGAGGGGGAACATGGCAAGCGGTGGCACCGGGCCCTGGGGCACAGGGAGAGGGGAGCACTGTCCCAAGCAAGGACAATGACTCGGGATGATCAGAAAATCAGATGACACGATGCTTTCTGTTTGGTTAAGCAACGGGGACGGTCACTTTCATGGATTGGAAAATGGCCCTGAGGTCAATCTGACTCTGAATATTAAAACTAGACAGGGTTTTTTGTTTGTTTGTTTGTTTTCTTTTGTTTTTCTTCTGGTAGGGAATCGAACTCACGACCCTGCACTTGCCAGGCAGGCTCTGTGCCGCTGAGCTAAATCCCCAGCACCCTAGAGAGGGTCTTGAAGAACTGCTGCTGCGGGTGTGGCAGTGTGTGCTGGTCACCCCAGCCCCCGGAAGCTCAGACACAAGCGACTCAAGTTCGAGGCCAGCCTGGGCCTCACAGCACACTGGGGAAACAGGCCCAGCGAACCCAAGTGGTCTCCACAAGGTCCCACTGCCTCCGGCTGCTCAGGCCAGCCTCAAACTTGAGATTTTCCTGTCTCAGCCTCCTGAGTAGCTGGGAGTACAGGCATATGGCCACCACGCCTGATTCCTGTCTTTGCTCTTGAACATGGGACCAGGCAGCTGAGAAGAAAAGGAAGGAAGCCAGTCTGTCTCCCTGGCCTACACTGGAAGGGCTGGGCATAGAGGAACCTTGTCCCCGGCCTCCCGGACACGGCGCTTCACCGGCTGGTGCTGGCTGCTGGCAGACCGTGGGGCTGTGGTGAGGGTGGGAGCTGGGCTAGAGAGTGAGGACAGAGGCTCGGCCAGATGCGCACCTTGTCCACACAGCCGGCTGCCACGACGTGGTTGTCCTTCACCATCACCAGCCCGCCCAGGTCGTACCGGTGGCAGGCGGCTCCGCCCACCAGCAGCCCGTACTTCTCCACCAGCCGGAAGCCCGGCGTGGTCTTCCTCGTGCCGGCCACGTGCCCGGCCCAGCCAGCGGCCTTGGCGAGCTCCACAGCTGCGGCAGCAGCGCTGGCAATGCCACTGCAGCGGGCCAGCGTGTTCAGGGCCACCCGCTCCCCCAGCAGCAGGCGGTGGGCAGGGCCCCGGACCTCCGCCACCCTGACCACAGGTACCAGCTTCGATCCCTCGGGGAGGAACCAGGAGACCCGGCAGTCGAGCTGGGCAAAGATGGCATCGAAGAAAGGGCGTCCAGCCAGGATTCCAGGGGATTTGGCCCACAGTGCGGCCTGTGAGGGGCCCGCTCCGGTGGCCAGGGCTGTGAAGTTGAGGCCTGGGCAGTCCTCTCGGAGCCAGCTGTCAGCCAGGGCTGCCAGCGTGCCGGGGGGCAGCAGGAGCGGCAGGCCTGGGAGGGACAAAGACAGACAGCTGCTGTGTTTGGGTGCCTCCCGTGTGTCAGGGGTGACAGCCGAAATACTCAACAACCTGCTACCTCAGGCACTAGGCAATCCGAACGGGATCTGGATCCCAGGGCTGGCTGGGGCAGGAGCGGGCGCTGTGCCCCAGACAGAGAAGTTGCCAAACAGCGCAGAAAAAACACAGAACCCCTAGTCCAATTTGAAATTCTGACAAGCATCTAATAACTCGTGAAAGACAGGACACGAACCTAGGAGTGGTGGTGTATGCCTATAATCCCAGCACGCCTATAATCTGGGAGGCTGAGACAGGAGAATCGTAAATTCAAGTCCAGCCTGAACAACACATCAGTTTAGTAAGATCCTGTCTCACATCAAAAATAAAAAACAGCTGGTGATGTAGCTCAGTGTGAAGGTCCTGGGTTCAATCCCCATTTCTTTTTCAAACAGAAAAAGAAAAAGTATTTCTTCCTCTCAGGCTATACTTTCTGTTTTTAACATTTTTACTACTTTTTTTTTTTTTTTTTTTTTTTGGTCTTTTTGAGACAGGGTTTTGCTATGCAGTTCAGGATGGCCTTGAACTCATTTTGTAGCCCAGGCTGGCCCCAACTCACTGCTATCCTCCTGCCTCAGCCTCCCAAGTGCTGGGATTACAGGCATGTGCCACCACACCTGGCTTTTACTACCTTATTCTTATGTTTTAACAAATCAACAACATGAGATCAATTTTCTTAAATTTTTGAATGTGTAGCAGTCTTGGTAAGTACAGGCACACTGTGGAGATCTCTAGCACTTTTTCCATTTACAGAACTGAAAGTCTGTACCTGTCAGACAGCAACTCCCACTTCCCTCTCTCCTCCGTGCCCTGAAATCAACTTTCGGTAGAATGAGTTTACTTTAGATAGTCAAATAATTGCCTAGATAAATATGTCCTGGGTGGGAGCTGGGTGTGGTGGTGCACACCTGTAAACCCAGTCACGTGGGAGGCAGAGGCAGGAGGATCACAAGTTCGAGCTCAGCCTGGACAATTTAGGGAGGCCTCATCTCAAAATTCTAAAACAGGAGTAGGGACCATCTCTCAGGGCTCGCCTAGCTTGCACAAAGTCCCAGGATCAATTCCCAGTATGGAAAAAAAAAAGCTCCAGGTGGCATTTAGAACATAAGGAATATTAACTATTGTTTATCTGGAATCCACATTTAACTCATGGTCCTGTATTTTCTCTGGCAAATCCAGCACTGAGCCAGCAGGTATTTATGAATGGAAGAGACATACTCTACTGTCCTGCTGGAGACCACTACAAAGTGGCTCTGCGCAGGATTTAATATTAACCAGTTGGCTTTCTGTGTTTACTTGTGAGTTGTCCAAGGCCTAGGCCCTTGTCTAGAGATGGGCAGCAGTCTCCTAGTAAGTGAACCTCTGTGAGTCACTGATCACCGCTGAGGCCTGTATTGCCTGTGAAGCTGTGACTCCTCAAAGGACAAGATAAGGCCACAGCTGAGGATGTTTGGCTCCAACCCCAATTAACTACAAGGAGAGTCGCCAGACATGGTGGTGCACGCCTGTCATCCCAGCACTTGGGAGGCTGAGGCAGGAGGATCCTTGCAAGTTCGAGACCAGCCTGGGCTACAAAGTGAGCTCAAGGCCAGCCTGAACTGCATAGCCAGACCCTGTCTCAAAAAGACAAAACAGGGGCTGGGGATTTAGCTCAGCGGCAAAAGCGCCTGCCTGGCAAGTGCAAGGTCGTGAGTTCGGTTCCCGGTACCGGAGAAAAACCAAAACTCAAAAAGACAAAACAAACAAACCCAAAAAACCCAAAAAACAAGGAGACTGCAGCTGCAGGCTCCACACTCTTACAATAAATGCCAGCCTAAAGATAAGGCAGGTTTCCTCATTGACATAATTTACTACTTGAGAAAGTATTTCCCAAGGTCCTGCGAGATTCCCGAGTTTTCTTGAGTATTCCTCTCCTTTGTTTGAAAACCAAATAAATACGAGCTGCCCAGAGAAGTCTTGGTCTTAGCCCAGAGAATCTCAAATTCTGCAAGAGTGTTGGACCCTCCTGGAGCCTGAAATCATTTCAATTGTCTCATTTCTTTAAGCCTCGCAGGCCACTCGTTTGGGAGGTTTATAACCGGATACTGTACTTCAAAACTGTATCAACACGGGGCTGGGGATTTAGCTCAGCGGCACAGTGCCTGCCTGGCAAGCGCAAGGGCGTGAGTTGGATGCCTGGTACCGAAAAAAAAAACCAAAAAAAAAAAAAAAAAAAACCCCAAAAACAAAACCTACAAAATAATATCAACACGTATAACCGACTGGTGCAGCCCATCTCTGGACAGGAGGTTGTGCGAGGGTCGGTGGGGGGGCGGGAAACGCGGGAAACGGGTGCGACCTCCTGCTCCGGGGACTGGGACGAGGGGTAAGCCTTCCTAGCAAACGGGTCACGGAAACGGGGCGGGGACTCGGGGATCCCTAAGGTCGTCCCCGCCCACTCAGCCCAGCGACCGCTGATGCGGAACCAGATGTGGCGCGACACCGCCATCTGTTGGCCAAGAGAGGAGCTGCGGCCTCAGGGGCGCCCGCCGCCCTTGGCCCTTGGCTTCACAGGGACCCGATTAGTGAGTGAGGCTGTGCGCGCGCCCACGCGACAAGCACACAGCGCGTACACAGCATACACTCCCAGCCCTTGTTCCTCAATCTTCAGTCTTCCACTCAGTATATATATATGTGTGTGGGTTTTTTTTGTCTTTTTGAGGCAGGGTCTCGCTGTGTAGTTCAGGCTGGCCTTAGCTCACTTTGTAGCCCAGGCTGGTCTTGAACTCGCAACGATCCTCCTGCCTCAGCCTCCCGAGTGCTGGGATTACGGGCATGCGCCACCACGCCCGGCGCACTGTCTTCTGTCACACTGCTTCTGTGGTTTGTTGTTTATTTTTTTTGTTCTTGATTCTTAGAATCTCACCATGTAGTGCAGGCTGGTCTTGAACTCACTATGTGGCCTGGGCTGGCGTCGAACTCAAGGTGATCCTCCTGCCTCTGCCTCACCAGTGCCGGGATTTCAGGTTTGTGACACCACAAGGGCCTCGTACTGCTTCTGAGCCAGTCCTCAACGACTGAGCCCCGCCCCCTGGTCCTTCCCCCATCCTCGGCCCCATAAATGAGTCTAGGCTGGATGCCTAGAAACTAAGTCCCTGTCCCCAGTCTTCACCATCAGGGAAAAGCCTGGACCCAAACTACAGAAAAGCAGAGCTCCTCCCACTCACTCAGCTTATACTCAATGCAGCGATGGTTTATTTAAAAAGTAAATTTAAGCCAGGTGTGGCGCACACCTGTGATCCCAGCACTTGGGAGGCTGAGGCCAGCCTGGGCTACAAAGTCAGCCTGAACTGCATAGGGAGACCCTGTCTCAAAAAGACAAAAAGCAAAAAAAGTAAATTTGAATCCTTCAAGTGGTATTGGACACACAAACTATGATACATCTATAAATGGGATTCTACTCTGCAATAGAGTCCCTAAATTGCCCAGGCTGGGTTTGAACTCACGATCCTCCCACCTCAGCTTCCCAGAGCGCTGGACAATTCTTTTTCCCTGGAAGGTAAAACTAGAGCAACAGAGACCAGAGGGCTGGGAGCCTGGGGTGTACAGGGAGCTGACCACAGCAGCATTGAGGTGTCTGCAGGACTCCACTATCCTATATCTGGTCTGTGACGACATGACTGACTCAGACCCCACCACCCCCAAAAAGGTGAATTTCAGCCAGGCGTGGTGGTGCACTCCTGTAATCCCAGCACTCAAGAGGCTGAGTCAGGAGGACCGCCCTGAGTTTTGAGGCCAGCCTGGGCTACAAAGTGAGCTCAAGGCCAGCCGGAACTGCACAGTGAGACCTTGTCTCAAAAAAAAGATGACTTTCACTGTCTCTAATTATACTTCACTATACTCTCAATTATACTTCAAACTTGTCTTTATGGGTTTTTTTGTACCAAGAATCGAACTCAGGACCTTGCACTTGCCAGGCAGGTGTGTATGCCACTGAGCTATATCCTCAGCCTCTAAACTTGTCTTTAAAAGAAAAGTAAATTTGAATGGTTTACTCAAAGATTCTCTCATAACCTGGCATGGTGGCGCACGCCTGTAATCCCAGCACTCGGGAGGCTGAGACAGGAGGATCTTTGCGAGTTCGAGACCAGCCTGGGCTACAAAGTGAGCTCAAGGCCAGCCTGAACTACAGAGCGAGACCCTGTCTCAAAAAAAAAAAAAAACAAAAAAACCTCCAAGATTCTCTCCTCCCAGACCCCTAACAGTCTCCCCAGATTTTTGTTATTATTATTATTTTTTGTTTTGTTTTGTTTTTTGTTTTTGGCTTTTTTCTGGTACCTGGAATCAAACTCATGACCTTGCACTTGCTAGGCAGGCTCTGTGCCGCTGAGCTAAATCCCCAGCCCCCCTCCCCAGATTTTTGAACTAGGCCTTTACTTTTGGACTTCTGTGTTTGTCCCTCAATTGTCCAGTTTTAGCAAGAATCCTTCTATGTCCGTTTGGCCAGAATTCCCATCCTCCGTATCCGATCACCACCAGCATCTGATCTGGCCCCGTATCCCCCATCAGACCGGCTGACGTCTTGTTGGCCTGGCCTGTCTGCAGTGACAATCCTGCTGGGTCCTGTGGCCGGCACCCTCCCATACCCCTGGCATTTCCCCTCCGTCTTCTGCCACCTTCCGCTATCAACCCCCACCAGCCACCCACACCCCATACTACCCAGAGTGGTGCCCAGTTCAGTACCAGGTCTCCTGCCCTTACTGGGACAGCTGTGACTATGATCTGTTCTACGATTTCACACCTATTTCTGGTTTCCTTTGCTAAGTCGACTGCCGGAAACCCCACTTGCACAGCAATACCTCCAGCCCTTTGACGGCGCTTCGTTTTTCATTCATTCTTTTGACAAACCCTTGTTGAGCCGCTACTCTGGGGCAGGTGCTAGTTTCTGGGTTGCCA